GTTCTTCACTGGCGTTTAGGTAAAATTAAGACTCCCGACATCTTTCAGTACCTATGGTAAATTTTTTGAAAAGTATGAAAAGACGTTCTTAAGGTTTTCAAAGCGTAGAATACCTTCTTAAATTATTCTATGGAGAAAATAAGGTTCAATGAAAAACAATCTTATAAAGACCGTCTATGATGAGAAGATGGTCTTCTAAGAAAGAGGATATTTTCCAACAATTCTGTGAAGAAAAAATATCTTAAAAAGGAACTCAAAGAGCGTAGACAGAAGACCCTTGAAAGCCCGGCTATAAACATAAGATCTCCATACGGTTTTCTATAGAGTAATACATTGTAAGGGTCTTCTATAAATGTCGCGAAAAAATGCCTTCGATAGAGAAATGTTATTTTAAATGTTTGCGATAATTAGAAGGATCGCCTGATGATAGAAATCTTAACCAAAAAACTTCTTCAAAAATATTGGCCAGAATTTATTCGAAAAGTCTTCCATTGACAAAATCCCGAGAGAAGAACTCATAAAAAACTTTTGTGGATAAAAGATCATTATTTCGTATGTTCTGCAAATAAACAATCCTCTAAAGACCACCTTCATATGAATTCCTTGAAAGCGAATAATTTTAAAAAAGTCATTAATTAAAAGAATCGCCTGATGATAGAAATCTTTAAAAAAAAATCTTCTTAAAAGGCATATACCTTTTATAGCCCACATTTATTCGAAAAGCCTCCCATTGACCAAATTCCGAGAGGATATCTCATAAAAAAAACTTTTGTGGATAGTAGATCTTCATTTCGTATATTCTGGAAACATACAATCCTCTAAAGACCTACTTCGTTTGAAAGCGTATTCCGCGTATTTTCGAAAAGTCATTTGAAATTCTTGATAGCAGATATTCTATAGAGACCCTCAGTAGAGAGGACTTTTGTAAGAAGGGTCACAGAGCGAAGCTATTTTATAGATACAACTCCTCCGTTAGGTCTTCTATAGAGGAAGATCGTTGAAAGTTTTTCTATAAAAGTCACGACCTTCGAAGTCTTTACAAAGGTCTTAGTTAATGGCAGATATTCGAAAGGTCTTCCATTGACAAAGTATCTTCAAAAGGACTTCTAAATGGATAGACCTTTGAAAAGTTCTCTAAGGAAAAAAAATCTTCTAAAAGATAAGACCCTTTACCTCCTTCTTCTACTGAGAAACGAACTTCGAATTGCCTTCTAAACCTTCTAAAGGATGTCAAAATGCAGTAGATCATAGGTATTTTTTTCTTGGGACACATAGAGCGCCTTGAGTCAGATTAATTTTTTTTTTTTTAATTTGTATAGAACAGAAATTTTTGACGATCGTCGTTGTGCGGAATATCCTGGAAAGATACAGAAGTTATGTAGCGGCAAAAGTTCTCTTCTCTGATCTTAAAAACTTTGTCAGGAGAGAGAAAATTATCCAAAAATTGAAGACTATTGACAGATTGTTTGTAGTCAAAAAACCTTCAATAGGTTGTGAAAAATAGAACACTTTGGAGATTCGTCGATAGACTGAATACCTGAAGACTGAAGAAAAAAATGTGTACTTGAGACAGAAGATTTTTGAAATCGGCTATAAAATATATTGTAAGAAATAAAGAAAAAGACCTTTGAAACGTGTTTTGGATATACTGAATCCCCCTAATGTGTAGAATACAGGGTGAGATGAAAAACTGCATCCAACTTCAAACAGCTGTCATTTCTAAGCCTCTTGCCAGACAGCTGTTAAAATTATTCCAGTGACAGCTCTTTATATTGTTTACAGGCGTACAAAAGCATTTTGGCGAGAATTTTCTAAAAAAAAGTTATTCGTGATGGAATTTAAGCGTGATAGTGTGATTTCTTTATATTTGGCTGGAAAATCACAAGACGCTATCGTTAGAGCACTCCAGCATTTAAATCTGAATAAATCTGGCTCGTGAGCTGAACATATCTCAATATACCATTCGGCAAATATTGAAAAATGAGCTCGGTGAACTGCCGAATTTGGTTTTCTCCGATGAGAAAACATTTGTTGTCTAGCAGTTTGTAAACAAACAAAAAATGATTTACTTGCCAAGAGGTCGGCTGAAAATGTTCACCTTCGGTTGGCCACCAGAACTCAAGCGCCGGCCATGGTGATGGTGTGGGCCGCCATAACAGCCGATGGTCGTTCTCCGCTCCTATTAATCGACCGTGACATCAGAATAAGTGCCGAATATTGGGCACGCAAACATTTTGGCCGCAGACCTTGGACATTCCCACAGGACTCAGCACCATCGCAGTCAGCACGCGCCACCCAAAAATGGTTACAAAATGAGGTTCCTCGCTTCATTTCCAGCCCACAATAGCCACCAAAATCTCCGGATACCACTCCGTTGGACTATTGTGTCTGGAGTATTTTGGAAAGCAAGGTTGGCACTAAAAAATACCAAAGTGTCGATCACCTCAAGCAAGCGCATCGCCAGGAATGGGCCAAAGTACCGCAGAGCAACATTCGGGCAGAGTGTGACGGTTTCATTGGCCGTTTGATGGCCATAATTCGCGCCAAAGGCGACCAATTCGAACAAAACTAAACTTATTCTAAAATTTGATGCTATTTCCGACATTTTATGCTTTCATTCAATAAGATTTAAAAACAAAAAATGTAAAAACTATGGCGTTTGATTTTGTTGCAGTTTGTTATCTCACCCTGCATATATATAAAGAGAACACTGTGATATTTATAACCTACACCACAAGGTGGTCAGAGTATTATGTCTTTGTGCATTTGTTTGTAACAGGCAAAAGGAAACGAGATAGACCCATAGTTCCTTTTGATGATCTGCATAGAATCACATTCTGAGTCGATTTATGCATGTCCGTCCGTCCGTCCGTCTGTCCATGTAATTTTGTAAACAAAGTGCAGTTCGCATTTATTGCCCTATCCAGATGAAATTTTGCACAAATCATTTGTTTGGCCCAAGGACGAACCCTATTCAAATTGGAGATAATCGGTCAAAATTTAGATATAGCTCCCATATATATATTCGTCCGATTTGCCTTTTTTTGTGCACCAAACGTGTAATATCAGTCCGAATAGTATGGAATTTTGCACGTACAATCAGATTGGACCTGAAAATAAGTGTGTCAAATTTGATCGAAATCGGTTCAGATATAGCTATAGCTCCCATATATATTGTTCATCCGATTTGTTATTTTTGTCCTCCGCAGCCGTAATATGCACTCTGTAACAACAATATTTGGGGAAATATATCAAATACAGCTCAGAATTACATTTGCTAAATTTTATCGAGATCGGTTCAAATTTGGATATGGCCCCCATATATAACTTCGTCCGATTTACCTTTGAATGTGCACCAAACGTATAATATTTGCCCAAATGGGATGATATTTGGCACTTACGACCGAATTGAATCTAGAAGCTAGCTCGGTTCAGATATAGCTATAGCTCCCATATAAACTGTTCATCCGATTCGTTATATTTGCTATCCACAGCCGTAATATGTACTCCGTAAAAACGATGTTCAGGAAAATATGTCAAATACAGCTCAGAAATTTGGATATAGCTCCCATATATATTTTTATCCGATTTTAAATTATTTGTGCACCAAATGGGCAATACAAGTCCGAATTTAAAAGATACAAATGCTTCGAAATATTTAGTGTTTTGAAGTTTAAATTATAATTATAATTATAGCGTGTATGATTAAATTCTCCCACAAAAACTTTTAATTGTTATGCGGAGCTCTGCTAAATTAGCAAAGTTGTGTAGGGTATCATAAAGTCGGCCCTGCCCGACTTTAAGACTTTCTTTACTGGTTTTTATAATAGATTAAATTTTTATGGAAAGTCCGCCATTTTAATATGTAGTCTAATGCTATAAATATAACTATCTGAACACCAAGCGAAATGGTTATAAATTCTGTTTATTTTTTTATTTATTTGTTTATTTCTTTTTGTTTTTTTTTTTTTTTTTTTTTTTTGGTCTTCGCCACACGTAATATCCCTGTCCCAAAGGCAAGCTTTAATGAATAACCATCTTAACCACTTTTTATACTTTAAGCCAATATAGAATGTATTTTTTTCCACAAAACTGTGTCTCTCTTCTCGGTCATTGTTAACTTAAATCCCGCAAAAAGAAATAAGTTAGTGGCAGATTGTTAATTTCAATGGCACTTTACAAAAAGCTTACCGAGAACGAATAACAAAAAACACAAAACAAAGTAGGCATTTATTTAAACATTTCAGTCATGCTCAGCAACAATCTGCAGTTAACCAACAGTTGGCAAATGTAAAGCTTTCCCGCACACACACACACTGACACACACTTTGTTAAATTATTCATTTACAACAAAGCAAACATTTTTTTTTTTGTTTAAAGCGAACATAAATCAAAAAAAGAACGTTGTTGCTTTCCGGCAGCCAGGTTGCCACAAAACGTTCCAGCTCAGCCGACACACAACACTACAGGCACGCATAGATTATGAAAGGATAAACGCGCCTATACGTCATCATTAATCAGACACCAAAGACCGAGGAGGACGGCGCTGTGGTGGTGAGGGCGGTGGTGTTGGAGAGCCAACTATGGAATGTGAAATTTCATCGGAATGCGAGGCATAATAAACAGGACATTGAATCGATTTTGTGTAATGCGACAGAAATGTTTCTTGCCTTTGTTTTTATTTTTGTTGGTGTGGCTGTTGTTGTTGTTGTGACGCATTAGAGACCCCACCGATAATTTATTATATCTCGTTAAAGCCACTTTAAATTGAAAATGTGGAATTTTTGAAAAATTTTTGCACCTAAATGGTTTTGGTTTGAAATATTGTTTCTGGTATTCGCTGCTGACATATGCCTAGGTCATTTATAACGGAAATTGGCAGAGATGACAAATTGGAAAACAATGAGATATTGTTGTCGTTGTTGTTCTTGTTTGTGTAATATTTTTAAATAAATAAAAGTAGGATTTGAACTACGGGGGATTTTGATTATTTAACTTACCAATGGTAGCAACATATTTAGTAGCTGAAATGGAACAAAAAAAAAATAATATTTTTAGTTAATATTATTTAGTAGAAACGAATAAAATATAAATTAAAAAGTAGTAAAATAAATGACTGATTTCAAATTAACGTCCAGACGAAACGGCTGAAGCTAGAATCGAAAAGTACTGAAATGAACTAAAAATTTAATTGGAATGAGCTAAAATTTTGGCATTAGAGACACTGATGGAGTGCAGGATAGGTTTTTGGAAATTCGATCTTTAAGGTTACGAATAGTTCTAAAATGGTACTAAACTTCTAAAATGGTACCATTTGGTATTATGTGAACCCAGGTCGAAAATTAAGTTTGTTATATGAAGGTGGTTTGTTAAATGTGTACTAAGTGTGCGCACTAAATTGTACTAAATTTGAAACAGTTTGGTTTAGGGTAACCGGATGAAGTTGGAATTTTTAAATTTTGTATTAGGGGGGGTTTTGGTATTGCACATATTTAGATTACTGGTCGTATCTGTGTTTGAGATTTGACGGTGGTTTTGAAAATGTGTAATATAATTGTACAAAAGGTACAAAATGGTACTATATTTGGTATTGGTTGAAGGGAGAAAGATAAATTTTTTTGGCGTCCTATATTTTGTATTGGGTGAAAGGATAGGGCTGGAATAATCGGATTTGATATTAAGGTCACAGTTAGTAGCTGGAATTAAGACATGTACATTGTTTTGAAAATCTGTACTATAATTGTGGCTTTGGAAATATGTACTATAATTGTACTTAATGGTACTCAATTTGGGAATGGGGGAGAGCTGAAATCTTGAAATTTGATATTAAGCTCACTGTTGGTATCTGGGATTGAGATATGGAGATAATTTTGCATGCGTACTTTAATTGTTCGAAAAGTACTAAATTTGGTATTGGATGAGGTGATACAGTTAAATTTGATACTTAGGTCCCTGTAGGCATGTGGGATTGAAATTTTGAACTGGTCTATGTGGAAATATGTACTATAATTGTTCGAAAAGTACTAAATGGTACTATGTTAGTGTCTCTGATGGAGAGATGTAGATTGTTACCAAATTTGGTATTAGTTGATAGGGATGGAACTGGAATTTTGAAATCTGATATTGAGGTCACCTCTGGACATTTTGGATATTTTCCCAGTGTGTAAACTTCAAAATGAATGAAAATTCAGGAAATATTTTATGATCAAACATTGTCTATGTAAATATTAAACTAATGTAAAAATTTTGTTCATATTTCTATTTCAATTTTTTTGCAGAATTCGCTGAAAATTCTCTTATCATTTGGGTTGTGAAAAATTCAAAGTGGATTTGATAATATACAATTTGTAGATCAAAGGCCCAAAATAGGTTTTAGCCCAACTTTTAAGGCCTATAGTCTGGACCATTTCAAAGGGACCACTTCTCAACATTTAATATTGAGCTGTTGAAAATTTGGATTACTGCAAGAATCATTGAATTAAAATGTGTGTAATGTCGGTAGACTTTTGTCTATGTTATATTTATACCCTACAACACTATGTGTTGGGGGTATTATAAGTTTGATTGGGCCAAAAATTATGTAACACCTCGAAATATTGGTTTCCCACATAGGAAAGTATATATGGATCTTCCTAGCTCGTCGAGCTGAGTCGATCTAGCTATGTATGTCCGTCCGTCCGTCTGTCCGTCTGTCCATGTTAATTTGTAATCACTCTGCAGGTCGCAATTATGGCCCGATCTTCACGAAATTTAGAATGTAGGTGGGGCTTGGACCAGAATAGAACCCTATTGCTTTTGGAGATGATCGCCAAATGTTTAGGGGTTGAAATGGACCAAATACTGAAAAAATTTCGGATTTTGCAGTAGCTATACAGGTTGCAATTATAGACCAATCAATTTCGCATGTAGATAGAGTTTAGGGCGGGGAAGAAGCCTACTAATTTGGGTGGTCATCGGATAATATTTAGCGGGTAAAATAGACCATATCTTTTGTGCTGAAAAAAATCAAAATATTTCATTAAACCGCGAATATTTTAAATCCCGGCGAAATCACTAAGCCATGACAAGGTTACTTCTGATCTTTACATTGATGTTAACATCCAACAAATCGGATATATAGCAAAATATGTGCGATATATATGTCTATCAAAGAAGATATGCTTGAAAGATCTCTTATATGTCGAGAACGGCTGAACTGATTTCGACAGTTCTCATTAATTCAGAATGACCTCTTGGCAGGAAAGAAAAAACGTCTAAAAAAATCGCATAAAAATATCTCTCTAAAGAAAATATTGAAAATATTGATTTTGTAAATTTTTCTCATATTTTTTCAATTTTGTAATATTTTTGGCATATTTTCATTTTGAATTAAATATTTGGTAATATTTCTACAGCTAACAAAACTAAGTAGTTAGGATATCAGGATGTCATATACAGATCTCATTTATGGCCCGATCCTTACAAAATTTTGCATGGGGATAAGATGAGAGTCAGAATAGAAGCCTACTGTTTTTGGAGATGATCGCCATATATTTAGGGGGTTGAAATGGACCAAAAAACTGCAAAATTGTCGGCAGGTCGTAATTATCGCCCGATCCTCACGCACATTTGAATGGGGGTTACCGGACATTGCAATAGCCAAGCAGTTTTGGATGGCCATCCAGAAATATTCAATGTGTGAAATAGTTTGCCAACTTTTATAGACAAAATACAAAAATGTCCATTCCGGTGACTTTTTGGAGAATTTACAAATACAGGACTATTTCGTTAACGCTGATTTCGTTGAAGAATATAGTCGAATGTCTGTATCTCATATAGATGCGTTTTAGTCAAAAACCAATAATAAATGTTAATCTTTTGCCACTTCTGAGAGATTATAGGTCTTTGGAAAATATTGGTTCCAGATCTAGGAAGACCATTTACGTGCATCATCTACAAATAAATTGGAAATGAGCAAATTAGTTTAAGTTGCTATTATTCGAAAATAAGAGAACGAAACCTGATGGTTTTCTTTTATTATTTGTCACAATATCTTGTGGAATTCTTTCGAGTATCTCGCCTATATAAAGTGTATGGTTTATTATAGTGTTGTAGGGTATTCAACTGTCGGCCCCGCTCGACTGTAGCCTTTGCTTACTTGTTTTCATTTTATTTCGCCAATTTTTTTATACCCTCAGCCATACGGCTATGGCCAAAATGTGCCTCGTCGAAATAACGCATTTAGATCCTAGATCTCTTTGAACCAAATCCGTTTCAGGATATTTGAAATCGATCTAGCGATGTCAGTCCGTCCATAAAGCCGTTTATCTGGCTGGCTGGTGTGCACGATAACTCTCGAAGGGAGTATCTAATTTGTCCAAACTTGGTACATCGTAATATTATTATCAAACTTAGATCGTCTACGATCCACTCCTTCTGGCACATCCCCCACAACATGTCGAAATTTTCAAAAAAAATATTTTTCCGCACAGAAGAGAAAGGATAATCCGATTTTTCTTCTTTTGCAAATTATAATATTTGCATCAATGCCAGATCAAGTGCAAAAACGGACAATATTGATCCACTCCATAAAGTACTTCCCCACAAAGTGCCAAAATTTTGAACAATTATAACTCATATGAAATGCGATATAAGAGCCCGATTGTCTTCAAAGTACACAAATCACAATATTTTTATTAACCCAAGGTCTGGAATATATCGGTCCACTTCTTTTAGTACCTACCCCACAAAGGGTCAAAATCTTGAATACCCGTGAAGCTTATAGAAAGCGAAATTAACATCCGAAGTAACCAATATAGTCCAAACCTGCCACGTCGCAATATTTGTATCAGATTTTTTTAAGTCCGATACGAAATGGACAATTTTGGCCCATTCCTTCGGAACCTACTCCATAGAGGGTCAACAATTTCAATGATCGTAACAGAAGTCAATATATATTTATTTGGAACTGTGTTGGCTTGTTTTTTCGTGATACCAAAGTATTTTGTTGTTGCAAAATGGTCAGGCTTAATCCATTTATTGTTTTTATACCCTACAACACTGTGTTGGGGGTATTATAAGTTTGATTGGGCCAAAAATTATGTAACACCACGAAATATTGATTTCCCACATAGAAAAGTATATATGGATCTTCCTATCTCGCCGAGCTGAGTCGATCTAGCTATGTGTGTCCGTCCGTCCGTCTGTCCATATTAATTTGTAATCACTCTACAGGTCGCAATTATAGCTCAATCTTCACGAACTTTAGAATGGAGGTGGGGTCAGAGTCAGAATAGAACCCTATTTCTTTTGGAGATGATCGCATAATATTTAGGGGTTGAAGTGGACCGAAAACTGAAAAAATTCCTGATTTTGCAATTATAGACCAATCGATGCGGAAGTTAGCATGGGGCTAGAGCTTAGGGTTGGGCAGAAGCTTTCCTATTTTGTTGATCATCGTGTAATATTTAGTGGGTGAAATAGGCCACAACATTTGTGTTAAATAAAAGTAAAATTTTCCATTAAACCGCGAATATTTTTAATCCCGGCGAAATCTACGTAACGGTCAGAATTGACCTGCTCGTCTACAGGTCAATTCTGACCGTTACGTAGATGCCGATAGTAAATATATCGGTTATATATAGCGAAATATATTCAATGTGTATATACAAAGGAAGAGGATGTTAGTTAGAATGCTCATATCTCAAGAATGGCTGGACCGATTTTGACAAATTTTGCCAATTCAGAATGCCCTCTTGACATAAAAGTATAAAATCTAAAAAAAAAATCGCAGAAAAATATGCCAATAAAGATGTTAATATAGATTTTGTTGTATTTTGTGACATTTTTTTATTTTTTCATATTTTTTTTCTCATGCGATTTTTTCAATTTGACTTATAATATTTTGCAATATTTTTTCACCTTACAACACAGGATGGAGATATTATAAAAGTATTGCAAATATCGTCCGATCCTCATGAAAATTTTCACAGGGGTAGGGCTGGGCTGAGAAGGGCTAGGCCTATTGTTTTCAAAGATGTCCGCA